GGGTTCAGCGTCCTGCAGCGTCCTGCAGCTTTGCCGTCTCCTTCGAGGTGTCTCGATGTGTGGCTTTTGAAAAAAGCCAGCGAATCGCATCGGGGGCTCCGGCGTGGACTCCACATGACAGGGTTTGCCAAAACGGCCTTTGTTCAACGGCCTGATGTGGAGAAACAGAGAAGTGCCGCGCGACCGGTGAGACCAGGCATGACCAGGCAGGTGGCCTAAGGAGGTTGGGAAGATGAGGGAAAATAGATCTCCTGGACAATCCCACTCTAAAATCAGGGGGGTTGAGCTCCAACGTCAGTGCAGTTTTATGAAGGAAACTTGGCACTGGCATGGAAAATCAGATGCAGATGGATGAATCTGAAACGACACCAATTCTTTTGGGTTGTTGATGTTGCTTTACCTGCCACCAGGCTTCGGCTTAGTCGACTAGTAACGGCTTAGTCGACGAGTTTCCAACATGGTGACTGAGGTTCACCCAGTGATGGACACCATCCATCGACCGTTCATTGAGATGTTTGGATTGCGGATGGATTGGTTTGTCAACCGGAAGCGAACGGTGTCCAGGAGTCCATGACCCATAATATGGGTCATGTGACACAGGGTCGAAACTATCCGTTCATCCGAAGATTGGTCGAACTCCATGTGGGTGTGCATGAACCAAAGGGAGACCTCCCAGATCGAACAGCAATTTCTGGAAGGTTCGGCAATGCCAATATGGCATGATACCCAGGAATATGAACATGGAACCTGAAAAATGGATAAAAATGGACGTTTGGAAGACGATTTTCCTCTACAACCCGACGTTGGATGTCCTCCCATCGTGACCTCGGGAGGCATTTTCCTGGTTTGGTTTGAGAGCGCTTCGTTGTCAGACAAGCCGCTTGGCTGCAGGGTGTGTTTTCTGGTGAAGTCGGCTTGGACAAAAAGGTGCAAATCAGCATGCAGAGTAAAACAGATGTTAACAGCATTGTTGCGTCATCGATCCAATTTCAGTCATGTTAGAGTCTCTTTCTTGCGCATTGAATGCCAGACAAGCACGCCTGAACACACTACAGTATGTAACAAAGAGTGACTGATTTGGGTTTGGGCCAACCATGGGCAAAAAACATGGCAAGACCGTAATAGACGTTCTTGGCAGTCCGTTCTGTTCAATGGTCCTGGGATGTGAATAGGCTGTTAGTTGAGGTTGTTGGACCCTAACAGGTCTCAATTGGTGACCTGTTGGAGGGTGCTGGTTGGTTTCTATATTATGGTTCATATGGGACGCCCCATATGATGAGGTACTTTGACTGTCCAAATGTCCCCATGTGCGAGTTAGATGTGTCTTTGCTGTCCACGTTCCCAAAGAATCCGGGAGTTGCCCAGGGTTCCACCATGATTTATTTGTCATCATCCGTTTTCTATTGGAGTTGGAGGTTCCTAGATCTTCCAAACTCTGAACCATTTCTGCCAAACTTGGCTGGTGGATGAAAAGATATTTTGGACAGTTCGGAAGACTAGAGATTTGCTCCCCCCCACCAGAGTTCCTGTCGAAATTTCCCAGCTGGACCCATCCGAGGGGTTTCTCGTTCAGCCGATGAAGCAACCCCTTTCGAGGGACCAATCCTTTGTTGATGTCAGCGGCCCCAAAACATTCTCCAAGGATTGAACTCTATCGAATCATGGCAGGCAGCAGTAGGTCCTAGGTGTATTCGAAGCCAACTCCATCTACAAGCGGGGGCATTTTGCCCAAGTTCACACGTTGCCAAAATCTGTTTGCTACACTCCAGCCACCCTAGTTCAGGGACAAATCAACCAGGTGACTTGACAGTAGGATGACCCTAAGCAGCTTGGTCACATTCTCCAAATCCTTGTGCACTCGTTAGCTCACAAGCAAGGTTTTGCTACCACTCATGCTCCCTCCAAAAGCGGGAATTGGGTATGCTTTGGCGGCCGCAAAAAAACCTGGCTCCCTCGCTCCTCCTTCGCGCTTGGACACACGGCACACACCACCACGCCTCTCCTTCACGGCGCGCGCCTCCGTCCTCCTTCCGCTGGCGCGCGGCTGGCAGAATTTGGATCGGCCTTTCGACGGCGACGAGCCTCTCCTTGTCCTTCACCTTAGCGGTGCAGACCTTCGCCGCGCCTCGGTGAGCGGTCGGAGTCGGAGCCGTCTGGCGGTTCCAGGGAGGGTTCCGGTAGCTGTTGGTAACAGGAGATGTGACCGAGGGGTGGAAGACTTAGACAAAGTATAGACAGATGTTCAAGGCCAGTTGAGTTCTTGGGGTCAATTCTGAGCTATCCCAACGAGTCTTTTGTTGTTGTAGGTTGTATGATGTTGTGTGTTATATGTTATACGTTGTATATTGTACGTTGTTGTTGTTGTTGTCGTCGTTATTGCTGTTGCTGCTGTTGCTGCTGTTGCTGCTGTTGCTGCTGTTGCTGCTGTTGTTGCTGCTGCTGCTGCTGCTGGTGCTGGTGGTGGTGGTGGTGGTGGCGGTGTTGGTGGTGGTGGTGGTGCTGTTGTTGGTGCTGTTGTTGGTGCTGTTGTGTTGTGGTGGTGGTTGTGGTTGTGGTTGTGGTTCTTGTTCTTGTTGTTGTTGTTGTTGTTGTTGTTGTTGTTGTTGTTGTTGTTGTTGTTGTTGTTGATTTTGTTGTTCTTGTCTTCCTCTTCTGACACCTGGGTGCGGTAAACCCGAGGTTCGGTGAAATGAGTCCGACCACCCAAGACCTCAATTCTCGCCGCGACTGAGAATTGAATGGATTCCCATTTCACACCCTGAACACCTGTTGAAGAATTTGCAGGTCATGATTTGCCCTGAGAGTCCGGTCATGACTCATTTGACCCCGAACTGGTCGTGGTTTTTCATTTTCCAGGTCGAGTTAAATCCGGACATCATGGATTTGTAAGTTGAGGTCATCGACCTGAAGGGGGGACTGGCTTCACCCATGTCGCTCCACACGCCGAACACATGGAAGTGACCCAGCTCGTGACCCTCGGCCCCGGACCGAGCTCTTCCGCTTTGGACCTCCGGTTTCGCACGAGCTCCTCAGGAGGTGCGAGATTGGGTTTGGCATCGGATGCTGGCTCTTCGGCTTGAAGAGCTCTTGAGCTCCAAGCGCCATCGGTTAAAACCGCACCGTTCTCTTGGTGCGTTGACACTCCCGCTGACGAATCCCCTTTTTTAAGATGTTCCGTGACGAATCAAATAGTTTTGTTGGTTCCAACATGTCGGGTCTTTGTTTGTCCCGGAGTAGCCAGGGCACTGACACACCTCCCCAAAGCGTGTTTTATTGTTTTCCCTTTGACATTTGCAGAAGTTGAAGAGAATGGAATCGAATCAAGCAGCGACACCTTGTCAGAGAACATTTGGCAAATGAAGGCATGCTCCGTGCTTCTTAAAGTGTTTCTCAAGCAGTGGATGCTCATGCCGCCTTGCCCCTTGAGCGTTCCATCAGGCGATGTTTAAGGCTTCCTATTAATTATTAGTTCAATCCCGATGGCCATTTGTTCAGCTTTTTTTTTGGGTTCCAGACATGAACACTTCAGAAGCCTCGATGGGCAGAAAGGCGGCAAGGTTTGGATTCAAGGGCAGAAAGGCGGCTACGTCACTTCCTGGAGGAAATTCCAGGGCGCTTAAGTTGTTCATCAGAGCACTCCCACAGGCGAATTCGCTTCGACAGTGGATTCCATTTGGGAGTTTGTTACAATAGGGAGACCTCCCAAAGACCTCCTGGAAGAAGGGAATAGACCAAAATCGGTCCCCCCCCATTTTGTGATACAACATGTCACAGCATGTTTTCACGCTTTGACCATGAGAACCCGGTCGTTTTTGCTGAAGGCAGTGCTCACCATGAATGGCACTTGGATCAGCCGATGGGCCACCTGGCAAGAAACTTGGGTCACGTACCACATGTAGCATGAGATTAACAACAACAACAACATCAACAACAACAACAATTGGAAAATATGTGTGTTTGTGTGTTAGTTTGCTCAACAGACTATTTTAAACAACTGCCTGCTGGTTGCAGGAGAACATAGGAGGTTCTCCACCAACGGATTCATCTGGCAACCGACTTTGAGTGGAACATCTCGGTGTCTCAGATCACCGGTGTTTTCTCGGGCCATTTGGCGGCACCCTTGGGCCCCAAAGCGGCATTGCCAAACGGTTTCCCCCTCAACAAATGCCGTTGGAAAAGCCGCTTTATCTAAAGCCCCATTTGAGGATGATTTTCCGTGATTTGGTGTCATTTCCTTTTAGCCTGGGCTGGTGCTATCCAACCCTGACGATTGCAAAAGCCCACCAGAACACCGGCAGGTGATGCTCATGGTGATGGTGGTCCTCTACCGATGTGCTTCTTGGACGGTGTGCAGCGGCAGATTGTGTAACTGACGTTGACCATTTGGAATCTTAGTGGTTGCTCATCCATCTCTCCATCTCCTTCATTGCTGAAATCCTGGGTGGGACCTTTCTGAATTGAGTCCCAGAATGGGGAATTGGCAGTAAAATGGCGCAACATCCTTCGGTCCAGTCCGCAGACGGCGCTCTCACCTCAAACAGATCCAAACAGCTATGGATTCACATGTTCATCACACCCTTGCCATTTTGCCAATCTACTCACGCCATAAGAGGCCCGAGCGTTGTGCGGCCGACCCCAAGAAACAGTGCCCTCTTCGTTCAGCCATGCGCGGCTCGAATCCTTCCGGGATTTTGTCCTGAGAAGCCAGCAGATTGGCATGTCATGGCATGCACCCAGAAACAGTCCCGTTTGGGCTCCAGGTACTTCAAGCGAGAGACGGGAGGTCGGAGCGAGGGTCATTCCGGTACTTGGACTGATCTGGGATTCAGCGCTCTTCGCATCGCATCCGGACCAAACAGGTCTATCATTCATGAAGCTGAGACACTGGTAAGATTTATATATATATATATATTATTTGTATATAGACTTGGTACAGATCATCTGAATCACAAAGCTCTCATACTTGAACCGGCCAACCTTCACCAACCTCCAACCTTTGGCCAACCTCCAAGCTTCAAACTTGGAATGCAGATGAGCCCATGAGCCCGTGAGCGTGAGGGTGCTCCAACCCCCATGACGTCGACCGAGTCTTGGCTTTGAGAGGGTTAAAAAGTCAGACATGTCAGACATGACAGTTTTGATACGAAGAGACCACATTTAAATGGTTGGTTGGTGCTCTCGTTCTATAGGTCTATAGATGGTACAGATACAGTACCACAAGCCAAGCCACAGGTCTTTTTTAGGGTCGGGTCGGGGAGTCGGGGATGGCTGAGGAGGACTTAAGCAAACTGCTGGCAATTTGCTTTCAAGTTGCGAAATGTCCAACAAGTTCTCCAGTCAACATGCGAGAAATGAGATGTTGAGATCGAGTTGAGGGCTTTAAACATATTTAAATCACACATGACCAGACAGCCAGGCAGGTTGGCTGAAGCTAGCGAAACGTGGACCATCATGCTCACGCTCAGGCCACCTGTGAAAGACTGCGCACTTTTCTACAATGTTTGTTTGTTCACTTTGGAGCAGTGTCCTCTTCCCTACTCCGTTGCAATTGAATCGTGCAGCACCAGCCACCACAGCTCCAAACGGTTTCGCCATTTTGGTCCGCCTGTTTTCACCACACGTCACGGGAGCCCCTCAATTCCGGATGGGTTTCACACCCGGACGGATGATGGTTGGTACTTCCAAGATCAAGCTTGTATGCTTACTGTGTGTGTGTCCCATGTAACAGTCAGTGTAACAGTAACAGTCATGACAGTCAATGAAAGATGACTTCACATGACTTCACAATTTTTGAGAAAGGCCTGCAACATAACCATCATCATCCACTCTTATTGTGGTTATGGGATACACCCCATGTACGCGACTTTCAGATCCAAAAGCATGTTAAGTCAAGGTCGTAGTAAGGCCAGGAGCCCTGTTGGTAGCGTTCTAATCTACGTCAGTCACAGAGACGACCCGGCGCGACCTGGAAAGCCGCAGCCCGACCGTCCGGTGCACCCATACCCAGACCATCGCATCCATGGGACTGGAATAGTTACAAGATAACATAATAACATACTGACCCCTTTCCAGTCCCATGGATGCGATGGTCTGGTATATGAGGGTCTTGGATGGTCGCGTTTGGGACGCACCGGTCGTCCTCTTCGACGCCAACTGCCGCAGCCCGACCGGTCAGGACGACGCCGACGTGGCGCGCTTGACGGCCTTCGTGGCGCGCCTGGGCGGTGGTCACGCCGCGCGGATCTTCCACCGGCGACAGGCGGACGGACCGAGCCACGGGGTCGGGCCGGTCGCACGGTTGAGGGTTACCTTTTCTGTGAGGTCTCCAAACAGCCGATGTGATGTTAACATAATATGTTAACCTGTTCTTTTGGCCTTTCCCATGGGATCCCTTTGACCATATATCGATCTTCATCTATCTAAGGGGGAGACCTCCCACCTCCCGATCATCCGCCCAGACAATCCCAGATACTGGACCCGAATCCCCTGGGCGAGTCCGGGGTCTCCAATCGGACCAGTCGGGCTGGTTGGAGCATCTGGGCCCTAGGCAGTTCATGTCTCTCAACCGGGATGGTTGGACTGGGGGGTCAGTCCAGGATCGGGATCGGCATGTGGGGAGGGGTCCAAAGGCGTGCACGACTACTCAACACCAAGTCTAGGGGGGCTTCAATCGAGCTTTTGGATGACCAGATCGTATTCAGCCCCTCAAGCATCAAGCATCAAGCATCCAGTGGATGGCTTTTGGTACGGCTCGTTATATCCGTTTGGATCCGTTGGGGATGTGGGGTCAACCGGGCCGGTGCTGACCACCGGACCCGCGCGGATCTCGAGGACCGTCGGTCTCAGGTGGGTCAGCTGTTCTTCTTCGATGCGCTGATGGTGGACCCATCCTCTCAGGAGAAGGGAGGGAGGTCCAAATGGGACAGGAAGATACAGGAACACAAGACAACCCAAGTAATTAGCTTGTGAGACGTTTGCGCGACTAAATAGTAGGGAAGTCGAATAGCCCTTCAAGTTTGCCTCTTCGCACGCAGCCAAAATTGGTCGTCGAGCCGCAGTTCGAAGTTGCGGCTTGCTTGGAAGGTGAGGCTTCAGTGATTCAAGTAGTTTATGATGATTTGCAAGGGTTTCACAATGTTTCACCATGTTCGTGAGTTCGTTGCTCTCAAACGGGCAAGATCAGTGTCCGCATGTAGATCTCGAGGAGTCCTTTTTGGTGGAGTTGGTCACGTGCCACGATCGCCGCTGGACTCTTTTGGGGAAAGTGGTCGATGTCATCACTGGCGGTGGACTGAGTAGTGGTTGGAGTTCTTCGTAGCTGTGGGATAGCTGGTGCAGGTGGACAAGATGTCCTACCAGCACCGGGTCCCACCAGATATTTGAGCCTTGATGAGGTTGGGGCCAGAGGAAGGTTAGATGCATCCGATGTCACACGGGGGGCAACGACGTCACAGGAGTGATTCAGGATGGCATGCCTGTCATCGCCTTTCATCAGGTGCCCAGTTGGCGTGTGAGCAACCAGAGCGGGTTGTTGATATTCAGGTGGCGATGGAACCCCCAAAACAGCCCCACCCAGATCCTGCAGATCCGGTGGCAGATGTGACCTGGCATTGACAGAAGAAGTGACCTGATGCGCCGCTCAGGTGATCGATCGAGAGATGGCTTTCAAACGCAGCTGATGTCAGAGAAGGCCGGGGCTGTGGAGAAGGGGGGGCCACAGACCTGCAGGTTGAAATCAGGCCACCGTCTTGATGAGCTCACAGGGCCATAACGCGAGTGGATGCCCCTGCATCGTCTGCTTTGGCCCCTCCAGAGACCTTTGCCCCTCCATCGGAAAAGGTGGTTGGACACTCCAAAGCCACCAAAAGCATCCCCGACACACACACATACACACACACACACCCTTCTCAGAGTCTCAATCCACACTTCAGCATCACCAAGTCAGTGTCAGGGGAGCAACCTGTTGTGATGACATGCGATGGGCCAAAGACTATGTTCCCTATAGAGGGGCTGAAAAAACCTTCACAGAAGCTGTTTGGGTCTTGCATGGCCTTCCAAACCATCCCCAAACACCCGACATACCACTGGGCTGATATATAGCCTATCCTCACGCTTCTATATAGCAGGCCTCCCAAAATCCTGTACATTGGATGGAACCTGGGATGAAATATATATATATATAATGTAGACTGTTGATCCATAAAGCCCCGCATAGATAAAGAGGTTTAACAATCCAAATGGGTGGTTATGTATGCCTTGAGTCTGACAGGATGCCGAGATGGCCTTGAAGGATCTTCACGTGGGAGACGTGGTCGAGACTTGGTTGAGACCGTCGACGATGCACCTCCATGGACCTTTAACACCCGTTTGGGATCCAGTCGTACCGAACCTCAGAAGGTACTACCCTCCTGGCACCTACATCACAGTGTCTCCAATCACCGTACCTGAGAAGGTATACTTGGGTCGCTAAAAAACACCTCGTGGCTTATAAAATAAACCAGATGATTGTGTGATTTGAAGCGTCCATACACCAGGCGGTTTTTTGAGGAGGGTAGCCGCGACCGACCCAGCAGCAAGGGTGTGAGACGCTGTCGCCGCCTCGAATGGAAGAACATCGATTGGCTTGGCACCTCTGTGGTGTCCATCAAGGGACACCATCAACAACCCAAAATGCACACAGCAAGACATACCAGCTCCAGCCAAAAGACTCACCTATTAAAACCTGTTAGGGTGAAAAGAACCCTTTATACTTTATACAAGACCTGTTGGAGGCTTGAGGCTATGTGTATGTGTATATAGACTCTAATAAGATTTTGGTATCTTACCATGTCTTACCTCTTGCCCATATTCACATACCTTCAGAAGATGTTGAAAAGGGAGTTGGACCAAGCTCTCTTGTGCTGCCTCTCAGCTGAAGATGTCCAGTTCCGACTAATGTAGCTTGCATTTCTCAGAGCTCAGGAGCTACTCACCTTCCACGCCCGGCCGGAGCTTCCTCGTGCTCCCTGCCAGCTGGTATCTCACCTGCACTTGTTGTGATGCTTTTGCGTGACTTCCAGGTGCCCAGCAGTGGACACCGCAAATGACTTTCACGTTCACAACATTTTGCTTACTGCACATGCTACCCCTAAAAACAACAAACAATTGTACCTCCTGTCAGGAGTCAGTCAGGACACTCCTGTTGATATTAAGGAGCCTGCAGGGAGTTAGAGATCAGACTCTAGACCATCATAATGATCATCATGACTTCACTGAAAACCATATGTGGGTTCGCATGGGACGCGTCCTTCTTGTGCGGTTGCTGTGTAGTTGTGCAGAAAGGGTCTACATGTCACTCCATGTATGACCAATTCTATAGCCGTGAGAGTGACGTAGAACCTGCTAGACATTGATAGCCTGCTATCGGATGCTGGCGGACGTCGGATTTCGTCCAGGATGCTTCAGAACATAGTGCTGGGTGACCCGACAGGTGCTCCTTTTCTCTACCGAGTCCACCTATGAGAAGCGCCAAAAGCGTGACCCTGCCATCACGTGGTTCCCACTGAAAGAAGCGTCATGTGGGGCCCGGCCCACGGCCGAGGCGTTGCAAGTGCATCGACTGAAGTTGTTGGAGCCGTGGGTGCAGCTGGTGGGAGACTAGGCGTTCGTGCGGGTGTCTGGGATGGCCTCAAGGGCTGGGAAACGGGCAGAGAAGGGCGGGGTGCCGGTAGATCGTTGGTGCCGGTGACGTGTTCAACTCGGTTCGGGTTCAGACGGAATCAGACGGAGCCGTTTTATTGTGGGCAGTACGGCATTGTCTTTGTGTGTGTTTTTTTCTTGATTTGGGTGTTGTTGTTTTTTGTTCGTGTCTTATTATATATTACATAATTTTAACGTACTGTAATTTTCTTATTCATATGTATAGCAATCATGAATAACACGCAGCTTCACGGGGTGGAACCTTGCTGATGGCACAGAGGAGCGTATTGATTATTAGTGATATTAACCGTTTGAAGTACTTACTTGGATCCCCACCTTCTCCCCCTACCATCTCATCAAACCTCTTGAGGTCCTTAGGGCATTTGAGCTCCATACAAGCAGCCACTGAGGAAAGATGGAGAAGCGAGATTGGATGGGCACAAAGTACATCAGCGGTGTGAAGGGTGAGTGGATATTGGGCACCACCTGCTTGTATCCTCCAATAACATCCAATAACCAGCTAGACCCTGTGTGACCTCTATTTTGGACCACCAACTACCCCAAATATGGTCTTGCCCCTCCCAAAGCAAGGGTCAAATCAGGTGTAGCACCAATTGGATGGCCGCGGATGCAGTCCTGAAAATACTGTTTTCTCGGAAATTCACACTCCAAAGGATCAAGACACATGAAGTTTAAAAAAAAACGGGACCTAGGAGAAATGTAAGCAGCGGTCCCGTTTTAGCAAACCATGGCTGATTCATTGTTCAATGATAAAGAGTTAAAAACAACGATAACACTCATGAAATGCATGCAATACAGTACATGAGAATAGAAGCATTGGAAATTCAAATGCCTTCAGTTCTTGAAGCAAATAGCTGTCAAATCCAGTTATTGATTTCAGGTGCATTCTTTTTAACAAGAGTGTTTCATGTCAAGGTTTTCGTGTAATACAAGCATTCAGGAGTGATTTCTTGTTTGGCTCCTTGAGCATCGCTGGGACATGGGTAGACATTTGCTGATCCATATGGGTAAGTAGTTGCATGTACATGCATGAATTCTAATTCAGTGGATGTTAGGCCGACAAGTCAACAGCACCCATGTGAATCATTCTTGAGAATTTGAGTCCGTTGGGTGAAGCGTCGGGGGTTCCAAAACGATAACAAAAACAATAACAAGAATTCACGAAAAAGCCCTCGGGAAGACCATGTCCCACATGTACAAATTCAACACTTTTCAAAATTTCCTTCAAACAAACTCCAAACATCAAGGAAAGCCAGGAACTGAAGGAATTTGACCAGGAAAATCACTAAGAATTAACAATTAACTAGCTACTTTTGGTGCACTTTTTCTCCTCTCCCCCTGTCTTTGTGTCTCTTTACCGAGGGGAGTCACCGGCGAAGAGGTGAAGTCCCACCGGTGACTCTCCCATGGGCATCACCACGCGACCTGCCCCCCCGAGACATCGAGACATCTCCCTTGACCGGGAGACCGTTCGAGCCGGGAACCGGTCCCCGTTCCGAAGGCCGACCCCAACACCAGTGAACCCACATGACTTTTTTTGCAGTGGAGGCAGGGACATGTGTGGTTAGCTGGGAAACGACAAGAGACTGCATACTGAGTTCCAAACATTGAAAAACGATAAAGAGTTTTAAAAAACGATAAGGCTAAAAGTGGTCATACAAAATGTATAGGGTTTTTTTAATACATCACATGTTTGCTCGAGGATTCATTTTTACGCTTCAAGAAAGGTTGAGAGACTTTATGGGACCCGAACTACCTACAGAGCAGAAAGGGCATTTTGCTGGGTGGCAGGTGTCCCGGCCGGTTTCCCGACCTACCGGAGGTGCCACCCAAGGTCGCGACTCGTTTGGGGATGAAGATCAAGGAATGAGAGAGACCCCACTCATTCCCTGTGCAAATCCCTTAAATTCCTTGATCTTCATCCGGAATGAGGGTGGCAGGATCGCGGATGAAGATCAAGGATTTTCGATCCGGCCACCCTCATTCCCTGCACAAATCTCTCACAGGCGAGTCAACTGGTTTGCCATCGTTTCGAAACGTCAAGCCCCGCGTCGACGAAAAAAAGTGCGCACAGTGCTTCAACTCAGCCGAGGTATGCTTTTCACCGTCCCGTCTTCCACGACGCCATCAACCAATCCTGGTTTGATACCTTGGACCAGCTGCACCTGCTGAAGCGCGATGAGAAGCGGCAGAAAGCCGGCGACGGCCGCGGTCGCTACGAAGGCGCTTTTCTTCCCCAGTCGGTGGAGGGAGACGACCATCCATCATCAAGATTTCAATGTCCTTAGGGCTCCAACCATCTCCTCAGAAGGTGGTTAGACTCCCGAACCCCACCAACCATCTTCTCAGGAGGTGGTTGGAGCCCTGGACAAGAAAAGCCAACTGCAAAGGCATACTGTAGTTATCTGTAGTTGAGAAACACCTGAAATACCAATGCCTAAGAGTGTTTTAGCCCACCCCGCATCAACTGCTTGTTTCATGGAACCGGTGTTCAGTAATTATGCACATCTTGCACCATAATTTTATACAATTTTGTTGATTTTTCCTTGTGTTCCTTGTTATAAATCAATCTTCACCGTCGTTGTCTTGGCTCATTCCGGACTGGTCGAACGGCTCATGTGCTTCTTGTCGTGAAACACGAGTCTTTCCGATCTCAGATCAGCCCCGCTGATCATCGCGACCCTCCCGGGGCCGCGACTGGACTGGACGTCGACCGGTCGTGGAACCCTCCGAGTGTCGTGAAACGCCGGTGGGGAGGAGTTTCGTTTCCTCCCGCAGCGAGGAGAGGGCCAAGCTGAAGAGAACTGCGAGAGAGCAGCGAAACTCGGTGTTTGGGGTATTCATTTCTGGGTGTCCTGGGCGGTGGAGGAAAAAAATGAGGAGCTAAACTTTGGGCATAGGATTGGCCGAGCTGAGGAATTAGCATGGATATTGTGATCGTGATGTCAAAGATGTTCAATGCCTCTAGGCCATATAGGTTTCACTCCAGTTGAAGTTCGCTGACAAAGGGGTACTCGAAGAGAGACACATTATAGGCACAACCCAGCAACCCCCCAAACCGCTGGAACGCCTCCAATCCGCTGGTCTCGACGATGTTCCGCTTGATGGATACGGTGACCCGATTCCGCATGGATCGAAGGAAGGAATGCTTGAACACATGCCTGGCCGGAGGCTGAAACCTGTCTATGTTCAATTTCCCTATCAGTGAACCCCCTGCTGAAACTGGGCCCTTCTTTACTTTCTTCCCGCTTTCTTAAGCAAATCCCAGCTTTCACCAACATAATCCACTGGAAACCCAAGTGATGGCTTCCTTGCACGTACAACCCGGCTCACTAATCTCATGTGATCTCATGTGTGCATGGTCATTGTGCGTAGTGGCTGCAATGGGATGGTCATCCAGTCGTGGTACTTTTTGAAGGTGGTATTGAACGTATTGAAGGTGATATGGCACTGATATGGCATTAATTTTTACATGCCTCTCGGTGGGCCAAGCTGGTTTTCAGGTTGCATGACTATCTTCCACACTTCACCATAGCCACCGTGTCCCGAGCCGCCTGAGCTTCCGAAAGCCTTCAAGGACGCCGAACAGGATGGACCGTGCAACTGCACACCTCGCAGAGGTGCGGCGCCGGGCTTCCAATGAGGACAGTGTTTTTTTCTCCCTCTGACTGCTGACCTGGTTGAGACCACAAACTTGGGTTTGTCCTACTACCTGCAACAGTCAGTAAACAGTTATCACTTATCACATGTTAACGCCATGTTAGAGAAAGGCCTTTACTAACCATATCTAACCACCATGTATGAAAACCACAAAGAGCCAAATGGGTTGATTCGAATGGGCGCTTGAAGAAAGCTCGGTGAAGATAGGCTGCCGTCGGCTGTTTCGTGTCATTATCCCGGTACTCTCCCTGCAGACATGGAAGTGGACAAACCTTTGTTTGTTCATCCATGCCAGGGGCCATGCCATCCGCTTCCTTGATTGTTGGAGAGGATAGGTTGTTGGTTCTTGAGTCCAGTGACCGATGACCAGAAGCTCGGTGCCAGAGATTTCTCGCAAAAAAAATATATAAACTGGTCGCCAGATACACCCCATGCTTTGCAGCATCAACGGGTATTCCAATGGTCTATTTGTTCCGGTTCTGTGTTGTAGGGCGTAATAGTTAGGGCGTAGTAGGGCGTAGGGGATGCCGCAGCCATGGGCTTGATCACGAGCAGAGACCAACTTGGAAACACTGGTGGAGAACAACCACAAACCTACCCACCATGCGTTGCTCAGATGTGTGCAGATCACATGTTCGTGTCTTTTTTTTTCCAGGAGCGATGCTGTATTTTGCGAGGGTCCACACCTGCTCATGCTTGAAACAACTGAACCTGTCAGATCAATAAATGGATCTGAGCAGTAAATGAATGTTTACGTCAGTTCCAGCACCACAGATTTCGGGTGTCCATGAATAGCCCCTATATGGAGGTCATTCGGGGTGTCCATGTCTAGCACCCCTTGCAAGACGGTCCATGTTCGAGATGAACCGAAGCATGAGTGACGGCTCATGCTGTTCATCCCAGCCTGTGGCACTGGCTCGTGGCGCCACGCCTGGCTGGATGGCCGTGCTGGCACAGCCTATGTGGGAAGTCACAACTGCTGAGAACATCTGAGAACAACTCATTTTGAAAGCTTAGGCCACTCGCAAGAGATACCTAGATCCACCGCCGCCGTACGGTCAAAGGCAACTTCTTTGGAAAGGTGCCTCCTACGAAGATCGAGGTATGCCTATAGTTTGATCCCACATGTCCTTTGTGGGGTGGTCATCGGCTTTTTAGCACCGTGGTGCCAGGCTTCTCATTGGGAAACCACTCGGCGCCAGCCCAAAGCTTTGGTGCAATGCCACTTGCCGCAAGCGCAGCGGCTGGCAGACTATCTCAATGGGAGACCTTGGCAAAACATGAGCGCGTTTGACAGAACTCCGGGCGTTTGACATCCGTCGTGTCTCGTGCTTGTCACTTGACAGTTAGCAGCTTGAGCAAATCACCACGTGCGTGATCATCATCGGTTTGGACGCCAGAAGTTGCTCATGGCACTCATGAAGCGTTTCACATGTTTCAAACGTTTTCTTTTTCTAGCGTGGACATGTTCTAGTGGAGATCTTGCGAGCAAAGACGACTGCAAAGGTTCGCTTCGTTTTGGGACGATTATTTTCGATGTGAGGGGGCAACGAACATCCCAGGATAAACTTGTTGTACACATCGAATGGACTCAAGCATACCTTAAACTCTTTGGTTCGGTTCGGGGTTGTCACATGTTTTCGCGGATCTAAAATTTGTTTAATCCAGCACACACACGACTCCCATCGGTTTGGAGTCCATGTTCCCCCCTTACTTTCCTAATCCACTGTCTCGAAGAGTTTCCTCAGCAGAGAAACAAACAGACAAGTCACAGGTTTCAGGCGGATGGTGAGGCACGTTAGATATTGCTGACCCTGAACCATACTTGTATGATGTTACATGGATGATGGTTGGCTATGGCCGGATGACTAAATAGTCGTTTGAGTCGTTTGATTGCACCGGTCACCGGTTTTGGTTGCACCGAGATCCAGTGCCTTCGCCATGACTGCGGCCCCAGGAAGATCCTCTCCACCTGCACACGAGATCGACTGGTGATGTGACCCGAAGTACTGGGACCACTCCCTAAAAAGGCCTTACTCAACCCGATGACTGACTTAAAAGGGACTGTTGACCTGGTGTTCGTAGTGAGTCATGTGCAAACTGCTTAGTAAAACAATGGTTCTTAGGGATTCAGGGTTAAATCAATGGTGGGCCAGGAATCCTGGGTGGTGGTTTGAAAGATGTGTTTCATCACCTGTGCGAATGCCGCTCCCATGCTGTTTCATCAATGGCACATCCTTTTTCCTTTATATGGTTGGGGGGATGGCTTAAACCGCAGACCTCGAATAATATAGCTTGAAAGTCACAAGATTGCTTAAACCACCGGGCAGCAAGGGGGGCAGGTTGGCGAGCATTGTGCCGTGCCATATCGCGCTTATTCGCGCTTGTATTCAAGCATTTTCATGTTGAGCCTCCACTTGGGACTAATCCGACATCCCAACCAATCCCAATGACCAAAAAGTGTGCAAGCGGCTTAACACCACATATATATATATATACACAGACACACGCGCAGAAGGCATTTGCACTTGGAGTACGCCCCATAGAATAGAACAATGTGGATGGTTCGCATCAAAGACACTCCAACAGACGGCTTTGAGATTGTGGTACTTCTGGTCAGGCACTGGGGAAGAGGCTCATGTGTGTTGCTTCCGTTGAATGGGCAAGCACTTGGTCCTTTCCATTTTGGTTGCTCCTTGCCATGCTCAGGTTGTATCATAGCGAGCAAGAGCCTGAGCGCGCTGGGCCAAAGTCCATCTTCGATGCCCGGCATGCGAAAGTCTTGGAGGTGAATGAGGCTCAGCCCTGCCACCTGCAGTCTGTGATCCAAAGAATCCTGGAACTTGTTAGAATTGGTTTTGTGTGTCTTTTCTTGCTTCATGCAAGCCTTTAGTGCCATTTTGGCTAGAGTGCAGCAGAAGAAACTGAAGTTGAATAGTGGAGTGGAGTGGGGTGGGGCATGAGGGAAACAACAACAACAACAACAACATTGCGATTTTTGCCATGTAGTTCAACCATGTTCAACCAATGCTACGGCAATTACTCTAGTAGGAGTTCAGAAGAAAAGTATGTCTTTTGCGCGAGGGGCATTGAACCACATGTTCATTTCCCCACATCCACCAAGGGCCAATGAAGTGTGTTCATGCACGTGTTGCATCATGTTGCGCCAACAAAGCCCTTCCTTAACATATCGAGGGCTTCACTGCACGTCGTCCAAAGGTCACGGCAAATGCCGATTGGTAGGGTTTTTCTTCCGAAGTCTTCGTGATGTTTTTGAGGAGTCTACTTTGTGGACGCCAGACGGAAGGCCATTAGCTTGAGGCGCTGAAAGCCCGTGTTTGTGAGCTCCAAACACTCAAAGAGGTGCCCAGCAACGACTCAAACCACGACCAAGTCGTGAGTGAGCCTTCTCAGAATTGAGAACCTGCCGGCTACTAGTGATGCCAAGCTTTTCCCAAACATGGCCCATGAAACTGGCCGAAATCACCACCCCAACTGACTGGCAAACATGTGCATAGTGTGTGACATATCGGGCATCCGAGGTCCACAAACCTCACATCGTACGGGTTACTGTTACGATCTTTGGGTCGTGGAAACCAGTCGATCAATGGAAACCTTCACAGTCGATCCTCCGAAACCTGCTTCTTTCAGTGGAACTGGCCAGCCGAGGGGCGCCACACTTAGGGGGGCCATTTAGGAGCCACATCTAGGGGCCATCTATAGGGCCATAGGCCCATAGGCTTTCAGTTTCCTTCATCCTGCAACTCCTTTTCTTTGCCTCCGACAGCCGCCTCAGAGGGACGTTTGCGCCCAATATCTCACGGAGCTCCTGGGGCCGGCGCCGGTGCCCAGCGGCTCGTTGTGGGAGCAGTTGCGGCGGAGGAGGACCGGAGCCACGTCGCCCGCGGACCCACGGACGGGCGGTGCACTCGGACGGGGTGTCTTCTGTCAGTCAAACGGTAAAAGCCCTGAATATGAGTCGCAAGAGCCTACAAGAGAAGTCCAAACACATCCAAACACTATTTTGGGCACAACTGATAATTAAGTATACAAGATGTTTGTTTGGGTCACCAGTCTTAGATCATTTCAATCCAATGGTGTATTTTACTCCCGGGACTATGAATGTAGGCCATCTTTGACCTTTACATCGTGGCCAAGGGCGCAGGTGAACGGCTGTGTTCCTGACTGAGCTGAGCTGAGTGGCAGCTGACAGCTCTCCAGGTCTCATGCATCTTGATCGTTCTACACTTGTTACAGTCACATTGCTACAGCTCAGCCATGGCATGCCATGGTCCTTTCAAGATGAGCTCCCAACCATGGCACCTGGATTGTCCTTCCAGTCGGCGATGCCTCACCTGTCGCCAGGAATTTCATGTGCTTCCCCGGTGAACTCGAATCAGCCTTGAAGTCCACGGTGGATGCCTCTCCTTGGCACTCCACAGCCAACGGCGCCAACGGCTATGCGACCACGCCGGAAACGAAGGACGTTCTCTTGGACGGGCTGCAGCTGCCCAAAGACAGGCGATTCCTGGCGTGTTTAACATCGACACAGTAAGAAATCATGACAAGAACGTGTCCACAAGGGTCCACTGATGTCCTGGCATCCCAAGTGCTACCGGCTTGGTACCGGCTTGACCTGGCACGGTACCTTGCCCCCCCCATCCATTTCTGATTCAACACTCCAACTTGTTGCGGTTGCTTCAGGTGTGACAGCATCGTCTATGCCGATGGCCTCTTCTGGTGGAGCGCCAATGTCCCACGCGCCATCATTCCGGCGAAGGACAACAGGTCGGTGCCCTCGAGCGCTTATTGGAAGCTGCTGGAGATTCTGGATCGACGCTTGGTTCGTTCTCGGTTGATCGAGCCTTTGGGCCTTTAATGTAGACTGTTGATGACCTAATGTGGATACCCTTTAACATCCTCCACCATCCTCCACCCTTTTTTGGGGGGAATTGGTTTCCCGAAATAGAATGGTTAATTTTGATTGCCCAGGGCGGGCCCAGGGAGTTAGATGTATGTCGACAATTGATTTTGTTACATCACTTGTGTTTCTTTAGGAGAGGTAAAGCCATTCTGGAGATGGTTTGGTTTCAATTCATCAACAGTCTATATGACCTTCTTGGGCAGGTCAGAAAAGAATCAACGACCCTCCACTCACCTAGCTGCTAGGCCCCCCCAGTCCCACTCCACTTCCCTCTCCAAAATGGACGCCTTTGGAGTCAAACTGGGTGTCAAATTGACACACACACACACACACACACCCACACACCCACACACATTGATCATGTTGGGATGGCCAGGACTGCGAGCCCACCCACTAGCAAAACGATCGAAATCCTTCTTCACCAGCCACTGCTAGTGTGGGACAGCTGTAAGTGACATGCCCTGTATTTTCTGGCCACACTTTCATAGCCCATGCAAGAATGATCTGGTTAAGATGAGCACCACATGCGCCTTGATATAGCTTCCGGATATTCTTAGGTCCAGGTACGCGTGGTTCAGTTGGGTTGAAACTCTGAACAGAGTCCATGTGGATGGACTTTGGCATCGATCTCTCAAGAGTAGTCATGGAAGTGGAAAATCACCCTCTTGGATGACGACTTTCCTCACCAAGCATGGTTTTCAGTCCACTTCCGATTTCACATTTGAGTGCATCCTCAGCATTCCTCTCAGCCGGGAGAGTCGCATTGGGCGAACCACCCGCAGCAGGCTACGAGCCTTCGGATCATCACGATTCTTCAGGCTCCCGGCGCGACAGCAAAGCACTGTGGGAGCCTTGGCCGATTGAAATCCTGCTTCTCAGCGCTTCTCAGATCTTGATGACACCCACCACCCCAAATGATCTAAGGTGCAACTCATGCGCTAGCACATCTAACAGCGCATTCATAAGCTTTGGAGGTGCTCTTGATCAGCCTGGTAGATGAACATCCTATCCAGTTTGGTTTCGATCGCTTTCATCATAGCAGAGGGAAGGCCTCTTCGCGACAGGGCAGAAAGCTTAGACATCTATCAACAACTGGGAGCTATGATTGCATTGGGCAAGTACCTAGTATGTTGTGTTCTTGTTTGGAGGTCAACAACCAGCGGATCATCGGACAACCCGGCTTGTGTGCATCAATGATGGAAGTGAAAAGAACGCTTCCTCCGTCTGGAGAAGAACTGTTTTGCAAGAGGCTACCAGCGGCTATCATCCACTTGACAGAGAGTCATTCGTCACTCTATAGGTCGGTCTATAGGTCTTTGTAGGTAACGGTCACCGTCTCACGCAAGCAAAGGAAACCCCAACTTCTCATCCAACTGCGAACCATCCCCGGACCAACCCCACCAAGTACAGGATATGTTCCATATCTGACACGTGAAGCACCCCACTTCCATGTGTTGACCATGAAGAAACCCGTAAAAATGCCCCCAGTTAGTTTTTTCTCATCTCTCTCTCTCTCTCTCTCTGTTTGAGGAGCGCTTTTCCAAGCGCCGCTTAGCGCTGGATGTGGGCGCATCGCCCGGTGGCTGGTCGTACTGTTTGGCCACCCAGCTGTGCATCCAGCGGACCATCGCCTGCGACCCCGCCGCCTACATGCATCCGGCCGTGCGGCGTTTGGTGCCCGAAGAGGAGGTTGGGCACCGAGGAAGAGGTGGGGGTGAGAGGTGGAAATGAGGAGTGCATGAGAAGGACAGGGTTGCAGAACCTCAAAGCCAGCTGCACTTCCAAACCCAACCTAGAACGTGTGCATGAAATATAATATATATATGGTTGTCGATCTAAAGGTCCTAGTCAGCAGTGTGTATGACGATGACCCGGAACATATCAAAATCTCATTTGGCGAAAGTTTTTTCTCGAGTTGGCGGAAGTAATTTTTTTTTTGGCGAAAGATCTGGCGAAAGATTAAATATGTACTTTTGTATGAATGTTCATTTGCTTTCTGAACAGCTGGTGGCAGTGACTCAGAAGCTAGATGAGCTGTGGAAGTTAGATCACCTGCTGCTGCTGCGGCTGCTACTACTACTACTACTACGACGACGACGACGACGACGACGACGACGACGACGACGACTACTACTACTACTACTACTACTACTATACTACGACTACTACTACTACGACTACCACTACCACTACCACTACCACTACCACTACTACTACTACTACTGCTACTACTACTACTACTACTACTACGACTACCACTATTCCTGCTCCTGCTTTGGGGGGCGGCTTTGCCACAAAACTCTACCCCGCAAAAGGCGAAAGTTTGGCGAAAGTTCAGCTCAAGATTGGCGAAAGTTCACCCTGCCACATCTGACCCCCAGCCCATTATGAGTAAGTTTGAGTGACCGGCTACTACAGTGATTCTTGCAATTTTGATTCTTGCTGACACCCAGGAGAAACAAAAGAGCCGTACAGGGTGTCAACAGTTAAGTAGAAGACACATGCTGACAAACAGTGAAGTTTCTATTTTGTGTTTGCCAGTAAAGAAGAAGCCATTGACGTGAACAAAACACAACATACATGGCACACATAAATACAACGTACTTCGGCGAAAGATAAAACGCAGGAAGGCAAAAGTTTGGCGAAAGTAATTTTTTTGCGAAAATGACGGGTCCCGGATAAAGGAATTTAGATCAACTCCCATATAATATATATATATATATATGCAAACACCGGCGGCCATGCACTTTGTACTGGTCCTCGGCTGCCTATGGGGGCCTCAAAGATGGTCACAAAGCCACTGATTAAAAAGGGGTGAAATTCAGCGTGTGTCGGCATGTTTCCTGAGGTGCGTGACGAGTTCGTTCAAGACTTCACCGACGCTGGAGCTTAACTTGGTGTGCTGAGGGCTGAGAGCGGGGAAGTAGTGCTCATTTGTGGCACTGTTCAACTACCAGTCAAGGGTCGCAGCATTTTGAATGCACGACTTGTATTACCAAAGAGCAGTAGAATCTACAATGGTGAGCACCTCGTGCTTATGCAGTGGCAGAACTCCGCTGGTAGATGGGAAATAGCTGGCGTTTACAGGGGTTGGAGCCCTGAGAGGACTGAGAGACTTCAGGACAGGCGAAGCTATGCAAGGGCCCTTTGCAAGCCATGCCTAGCTCAGTTTGGCAGTGGCAAAAGATGTTCCATTATTGTCAGGTGACATTGCTAAGGTAAGAGCTTGTGGAATTTCTGGTGCTCACAATGGTTGTCAAGCGTTCTACAGGTCGGCACTCACGTGTCTTAAAAGAAAATGCATGTGATTTGTCTTGTAGAAACGATAGTAATCCCAACAACGATACCCAGCCTTAATTGTCACTTGGCCTAGCTGCCTCCAGAGTCTTACTTTTGGTAGATAGTTCAACCAAAGCCTGCATGGGGTCACTTGTCCCAGCTTCCTGGAGAGTCCATCGCTCGGCAGAAAGTTCAACTAGAGTTGGTAGGGAGTGGCATGGCTTATTAGCCGGTACAGGTCTTTGCCTATTGACTCTCACAGCGTATGTCCAATTCTTTTTTTTGCATATGGTTTGCCATACTAGTTGGACATTCCATGTTGCTTTTTGCTCATTTTCCCTAGAGTTTAGACCGATACCAAAAACCATACCAAACGATACCCACTTCATAGATTTGCATACGCTCGGAAACCACCTGCCACTTACATGCTACTCCTACTGCCGCCACCACCACCATCACCACCACGACGACGACTACTACCACCACCACCACCACCTTACCACTACTACTACTACTGCTGCTACTGCTACTACTATTTTACTACCACTACTACTACTACCACTACTACTACTGCTGCTACTACTACTACTACCACTACTGCTGCTACTACCACTGCCACTACCACTACCACTACCACCACGACCACTGCCACTACCACTACCACTACCACTACGACGACGACGACGACTACTACTACTACTGCTACTGCTACTACTACTACTACTACTACTACTACTACTACTACTCATCATTTGCAAAACCAACTTGCACAACAATTTGCATATAGACGACACCTCCTCCAAAAGGACATCGCAAAAGCATTGATTGAACAAAGGAAATCCCAAAAAACGATACCTGCCTTAAAACTTCCACCCAGGTGACCCCTAGTTTTGCCGGCCGCTCATGTGGTGGAGCAAGTAGGGTCAAAATATGACCACTGGGGAGTCACTCAGTGGGATTGGAACGGGACTGATGGGACTGAGGAAGAAGAGCGGAAAGAGGATCGAAAGCACTTGGAGCGCCTCGGAGGTTGCCGATATCCTTGGATGGCATGAAAACACAAGGAGGTGTTTTTCAGCTAATAATCGGAGGGGCTGTACAAGATGATGTGACATTGCCCAAGCACCATTGAGAGTTTGTAGAGAGTTTGGATATGGAAGTAGAGTCCTGTGGAAGATGATCTTGGAAGTGGAAGTAGGTCCCCGTTCCGCTTCCGAGTACGCGCATTTTTTCCAGCAATCATATTGTAGCTGAAGCTGAACTATGTTTCACGAATCCTCACACTGGCCCAGAATCATGGTGCGGCCTTTGCATGTTCCGTTATGTTCCTTAGATTTTTGCACATGTGCTGCGTGCTGCTCTTGCCACATACCTTGAGAATCCGGCACCATGCTGGAAATGCTTCGAAAGCTCAATGATTCCTTGTAGTGGTCCGTGGTCCCCAATGGATAGAAACACTTTCCCAGCCCATTCTGAGTGGGGATCTACTTTTGTATCTAGTTGGGGTCAAACAAAGAGCACCTCCTCAGCCGATTCGAGCTCCGCAGAGCCTGCCACTACGGCCGCCACACGGAGTCTCAGGCACCGGGCTGCCTGGGAGCAGGGACCGAGCGACGAGCACGGGCGGATCTCCCATTGGACCCTTGGGACGGCGAAAGCGTGGCGACGACGAACGCCCCGGGGCGACGAACGAGGCGGCTGCGCGAGGGTCAGGGAGTTGGATGACGTTGGTTTGGGTGTTTTAATTGGGTGGGTTTTGATTTGGTGATATTGGGTGTTATAGTCTAGTATGTGTTGTGTTTGTTTGTTTAAATGTTGGTGTGTGTGTGTGTGTGATTTTAAAGGACTTTTATGGGAGGTGATGAGACAATGAACAAGCTACGTGAAGGCTTCCGACGCTTAGGACCACTTCCGACGCTTAGCACCCCAAGCCATTGAGTTGACCATGCTTGGCACCCCTTGTGCAATCGGCCATAGCGCGGGGAAACACATGGCTTGCAAGAAGACGATCCCCCCCCTTTTGGCGGGATTGGTGAAATTCGGTGCTCAAAACATCTCAAAACTCGCCAAGGGGTGTGAAAAATGGAGATCCACAGCTAGTTTAGGGTATTCCATTGGAGACCTTGGAACCCTAAGCCTTTGGGAAGAGGTGAGAGGTGAGGACTCCGGCAGGATGCCCAAAAAGCGTCCGTGGCTCTTTGAAGTGTTCGGCCGAAAAGGAGAATGAGGGGAGCTGATGCATTGGACCAACTGTCGTCCCAGAAGCTCTCCATCTTCGTTTGCGACATGTGCCATGACTGCCATAGCGGATGAGACTGATTTGATTCCAACTTTGTGCACTGTGGAGGATGGTCTAAGCCTTGTTGGCTCCTGGAATCAGACATGAAGGATGTCTAATTGATATGCTTTATGATATGTTTATGATCTATCAGGCGATGAACTTCCTATACCTGCACGCAACCTTTCTATACCTGCACCCCCAAAAAAAACATGCAACTCACAATGTTCTGTGGTAGTACCCCGGGCCCGCAACCGCTGCCAGCTGAATCACGAGGCACATGGAACAGTTCCACCACCGGGGTCGGGTCAGCTTCTTCCTTCACTCAGGCATGAATGAGTCAAACCCGGAGGAAGTCTCGCGTGGCGTCCATTCTCCCAACCCCGAGGAATGATGCATTAGAGGCTTCCTGCCAGCTGCTCTACCGGATTGCCCGCGAAGGCCTCTACGAGCCGCCCTGCACCTGGGAGTGATTGATCGGCCAGACGGAGTCGTTGGGCTTAGGAGGCGTCCTCCACCGGAGGGTGGCACCAGAGGGGAGACAGTAGGCCACCAATATAGACAGAGGGGGTATACACCCAGGAAGAGGCCTGATGGCTTTGACCTCTGAAGACTAGTGGAACCTTCCAGGGCGTATAGGTACCAAACTGACCCCTGCATGATTTCCAAAAGCTCGGGCGGGCAATGTCTTTGGCCACCACGCTAGGGAAAGTCCGACCAGATCTGCTTCTTCAGCAGTGACTTCTCTTTGTGGCTTGTGGCTTGTGGCTGGTCCTATGCACCAAAGAAGGCTCCATAAGACTAGAGCATGATAGAGCATGTGACATTTCGGATCCACTTCGAGCCGCTCGGACCGACTTCGCCCCAACCACCAGCGATGGACCCTGGGACCCGGACGAAGGCCGATCGACGTGCCGAGGCCTAGCTGTGGTGACCTTCAAGAAGCTTGGCTGCGCAGCGCCTGGCCCGGGGCGGATTCAAAGCAGCACCTTCCAACAGGTCTCCGAAATGGTCCTTTGGAGGGTTCTTAGGCCCGGCCACGGGTTTCAATTGGTTTGGACACCTTGCGTTTTTTTGGAAGTGGACGATATGCTGGTGGCTCATTCTGGGACTCTAACAAATTGCCTGCAGGTTGATTCCGCTCCTCTTTGCCCCAACGTTGAACCTGTTGAAAGGCGATGAGAGGAGGTCCTTTTGGCTAAGCTCTTTTTGGTCCATGCACCTGTCCACACCTAGAAACCAATAATTTTCATCCAAGAATACATGCCATACACCTTCCATATATGCTGCGTCGAAGCCAAGGGTCTATCCAGTTTTTGTGGCACCCACTCTATGGAGATTTATGGTGCAGTTTTCGGGGGGGGCCATTTGTCAGTCCACCATTGGATTTGATGGTGGATCTCTGAAATTGAGAGGGCTCCCTTCAAAGATCCTTGAAAAGATCATCCTTTCAAAGGCGGTCGAAGTCTCATGAAGTCTCTTTGATGGTGGCTGATGCTGAACAACACGGTCGGACGACGTCACTGACGACGTCACTCTGTCCCATTCCGTCCCATGTCCCCTCCGAGGAACACCTGCCGATCCAAAACCGAGTTCGAGGAGCGGAAGCGGGCGATGCTCGCGCAGATCCGCGCCGACAGGATCTTGACCGATGTTCAGGAGATCCACCTGTCACCTGCCGACCCAGTCGTAGTTTCGCAGGGTCGCAGGGACTACGACCAGGTGACCGGGTTTCGCAGGAGCTCTGGGAGCTCTTGACCCGGTCGTAGTTTCGCAGGGTCGTTGAGCCATGTTTGGATGGTCTCCAGGTGGTTTCGTTCGTTCTGCATCAACTGACTCGTTTGGAGAACATATGAGAAAATGATCCTACACAAGCCAGCAGTCAAGGCTTCAATTTCTGTGAGTTCTGTTATAATTGTTATAACAGTTATGGAACTGTCTATATATAGAAACAAGCTAGGACAGCCCTGGTCCAGGCCAGCACATCCCAGTTTGGATGGATATTGGATAGAAAACACGTAGTCAGGGTGGTTTATAAACCACCCCGATATGGGTTTTGCTGAACTTTGCAACCCTAAGGATCCTTGGACCTGACACCTTCGCAGGGGTGGAACCCTTTATAAGAAGGGTTTGGGACGGTTTGGGGTCCCTTAAAACATCTCAAAACCATGAGGGATGTACTTTGTTAACCTTCGCTGTTGGTTCCAACCGCCGCAAATGCCTCGCTCAAATTCCGGACCCGAGGTTTGCCAATACCCGGCTCGAGACGACCATTGTGGGGCAGATGCTGTGAGAAAAAGGAGCGACCAAACATCCTGACAACGAATTCAGGTGGTTTTCTCTAGACTCTACCCCCTTTCCTCACCCAAACCCTCCAAGTCATCCAAAGGTGGTCCATCGTGTGCTGGAGGATATGAGGCCATATGCTATACAGAGGGTTTCTTCAGGTCCGACCCGATGGTCGAAGATCGGCCAACACCGGAGGCTTCGCCGGGGCGAAGCCTGGACGGCCTGGACGGTCAACGAGACGGGACGCCGGCGGCGACCGGACGACTGGGCTCCCAAGAGGTCTCGTCCCGTCCCAAACCTTCGGAACGACTTGACGACGACTTGGACTCATGCGGACGGTATCGAGGGTTCATGTTATTTTATATGTCATTTAGTTCATGTGTTCCTAAGAATCTAGTTTGTTTTAAGTAGCCGCCTACTCAATGAAGCAAGGGTGAGGGCAACGTGGCTTTAATACAGGCTGAAGAACACTTTTGATAACAACACTTAGGTCCTCTGCAGTGTGAGAAGAAGCCCGTTTTTCCAACCCACAGCACAGAAACAGCTGTTTTATTCTCCACCGTTAACCTGGTAACCTGGACCGCTTCTTCTTCATACTGAAACCGCCCAGGTCTCCGCCTTCCCGTGGTTTGGATCTTGTGCTCCGGCAGAAGATGAATACGCATCATCTGGGCTCACCTTCATTCTCAGGCCGCGGCGAATTCGGGCTCCGACGTTCGGGCCCGGTGCGACAACAACGACAGCGGTGCGGGCCAGGGGCGCCGGCCGCCGTTCGAACGAGCGCCTCAACCATTCGGTCAAGCGGTTTGGTCACTTCTTTCGTGGTGACGAACATTTGGGTCATTGGTTTGACAACCTGTGGAAACCAAGATGGGTCCTGTGTAGTGGTCGTCACTTCTTGGCAGTTGCATGGATTGATTCGCACTTTGCATTTCGTATCATTTCGTTCTTTTCATTGACTCCATGGCGCAAATACATCTCCGGGAGCTGTCGTTCACATTAGACATTGATGACTTGGATAGTGCGTGGAACATTGTTTAACAGCAAATCTGTGGGAGTTGTCGTTCACATTCACATAATGACATAGTGTGTGTGTGTGTGTGTCAGTGTCTTCTGAAGGCATGTCCTACCTGCCAACCTTCGGACAAAACTTGCCAGGTTCCTCGCGCCCTGGCAGTTTCATGTCCCACCACATGTGGTGCAGGCAGGTCGGGCGTCCACCATCCCGGAAAAAGGGGTGGAAATGATGGGAACCCCAAAACTAGATGTGCGATTGCTTCCGGGGTGTTTACCCTCAATTGGATGTGTTCTTGTAGAGTTTTGCAGGGGAACCCCATCCGACATCCGAGCTGCTTTTAAGAGCACGACCTCAGAACCACACCCAAGATGGATTTGAAGAATCACGACCGCCCCACCTGGTGCATTCTTGTCAATTATGGCTACCGTTGTTATGCTATTTCAGCTGCGCATGAGGCAGCATTGTTTCGGGTGGCTTTCCTGGCCTTGGCAGAACAGGAGGCCTTCAACATCCCAGATTTGACGACCCTGACGACACACCAGAGATTCTGAAATGGTGCGGCCCCGAACAAGTCGGAAGACCTCTACAAACTGATGGTGACTGGGGCCGTTATGCCAACAATCAGCCGAAAACAGAAACCACCAAGCAGCAGTTGACCCCTAACTAACTACCCATCTGCGTGAACGCAGCTATGCCAACTTAATGTCATCAACCAGATTCAACCAGTAGTTAGCCGTAGTTAGCAGCTTTTCAGATGACCATGGGTTAGGAACTTCCAAGGCCAAAGTTAACCCAAGACCATGCACAAGTGGTTCTGGCTTATTGGGCATGACCAGGAAATCTTTTCGACCTCTATTGCTGCAATCATCCTGGCGGCCATTGCCACTGGGCGCGTCGAAGTGAGATGTGACTCCCAAAGGAGTCATCTAAACACTGACAACAGAGAAGCCAGGTGGTGGGGGTGTGGGTGGTGCAATTATATTTGTTTGTTCGGGGATGATGGCACTCCAAGTTCATGTGTGCAACCAGAGGATAGTCCTAGCAGCCCAAGAGATCGTTGTCCTGATCCTGTTTGTTGTTTTGTGATTCAAGATCGTGCTGAACATGCAATGTGTTTCCTCTTTGGGATGGCAACTGGAGCGTACTGTACTGGTACATCCCTAAGGATCCATCCAACCTTCTCAGAAGGTACGACTGGACCCTCCAAGCCTACATAAGATTGTCTCCAATCACCTGAGAAGGTACTTGGATCCCTAGGGCATGTTTGAACGCCCATAGGGGGAGATTCAGATAATAACCTTAGGGCCAATTTCTTCAAATAGAAAGTCAAACAAATGCCAATGTTGGTCCAATTGGTGGATCGCGTCCTTCTCAATTTTCTTGGTGAGAGGCTCCAGTGGCTTGACTGACCACTTCGAAGGAAGTTGAAGGGAACCACCGTGTGCACTTTGAAACTATATTTTGTGCAGTGACTTCCAAGTAGATGGCACATATCCATAGGCTCATTGTGGATTTTGATTGGCCACGTGCTCAGATCATTGACACCCCTTGTACCGACGCTAAGAGAACTTCCCCCCTCCCCAACCAAAAACGGAGGCTGCCGGGCAGACCCCACTCCATTGGGCAGACCGCCGGGCCGGTCTCCTGGTCTCGTGCCGCTGAGGTGACTTTGTTGATCCTCCTGATCTATAGGCGTCGGACGACGGGGTGGCTGCCGGGGTTGCCGGAGCGGGGGAGCAGGAAGTTCCATGGGATTCCGAGCAGAGGAGCAGAGGGTTCCTGAGGTCGCCCGAAGAGGAAAAAGGCATGCGCAGCACACCTGGAAAACACGATGATGGGATACTATATAGGCACGATCTATTTTTGTAGGCTCAATTGGCAGCTGTTTGTTTACTGGGCTTAACATTCAGTTCAATGTTCGCATTACTTACTTGTGGCTGGTGCTCGTTTGTTTGACTACAGGTAGAAGGTTTAAGGCAAGGTGAATGAGCTGGTCGCCAATGAGAGGTTTGACTTGTGCGGACTCTTGTTTTATTTGCTATTTATAATGGTTTAAAACATTTGCAGGGCGGATGATTATGTGTCGCCTGTTTCTTTTTGCTGCCAAAACTAAAGCCAGGGAGTGCTTCACGAAAGTGTCACTGTAAAGTACGTCTAATAGTCTATATATATATATATATGAGTGGCCAAGTGCGTGGCTTGGCACGCTTTGCCACTTGATCTCGCTGGCCAAAGGGTGTGCGGTAGAGCCTTCCCACAATGTCAGGATTTGTTTGCAAATTAGCCAGACACGATACATACAATTCACAGGACAATTTGGAGGAAATCCTCGCTTTGTTAAGAATTGACTTGTGCTGCAGCCAGATGCGTCCCACCCAAGGGATACAAAAAGATGCTCCAATGTGCAAACCAGTGTTTGGCATGTTCCCCATTTGTTGCAAATCGTTGCATAAGCTGCTTTGACAGTTCAGAACACATGACCCTAGCAAAGCCCTGGGGACCCAAAGTCAGTAAGAGGTGGCTCAAGACATCAAAGTTGGACCCCACTGGCTCCAAGGAATATGATCTACCAGCAGTTCCCAAGGTGGTTGTGGTTGTTGTTGTTGTTGTTGTTGTTGGAAAAGAGTCGAAAACTCACCCCCTCCGACCCCCTCCTGCTGATATAGGTTCTTGCTTTTTCGTAGATGTGTATATAGTCACTGAAATTAGGAAGCATTCGGAATCCAAGACAAAAAGTCGCTGTTTGACACTGTCCAAGCAGATGTCAACAACTTGGTGGTGTGTGATGAGTCGATTTTACCCGCCTTTTGAGCCACATTGTGCCATTCTGTCCCATTTGCTTCTTTGGATCCACCATTCTCAAACCTTTGCCAGGCGTGAGCTCGGCATCGTGTCCGTCCGCCGGAAGCACCGAGGGAAATACAACTTTGAGGCGCGGCGCTTCGCGCTAAGATCACCGAGCTGCCAAGAGTATCCAAAGAAGTTGCTTGTGTGTTGCAGTTCCATGTCGGGCTGCCAAACGTGGAGGATAGGGAGAACATCCACTCACTGGATGACAACCCCTTTTGAACTCCTGGTGTGTGTTTGTGTTTGTTTGTTTTTGTTAAAGATCCATCCACTCACTGGAGAAGCTGGACGCCTCAACAGTCAATCAGGTGTGCGATGTTCGTTCTTGGCAGCCGCTGATTCAGAGTGCCAGATTTTCCTCACACCAACCGGTTGCGAAGTGTTTGAGTACGTAAGTGTTGGGTGCATTGCAAGCAGACCAATATGATACCCCCCATGGCAGCTTGAGCAATCATTTCATGGGAACACTTGGAGAATCCTAGTAGCATTCCTCCAAACACGCAACCACTTTTCATCACTTAGTATCTGTGCTCTTGGTCGCCCATGTCTGTTCTTGGACCCAACGAAGACAGCTTCTACTTTGGTATCCATAATGCCGTTAATTGGAGATATGTGGCCGTCTGGACTTCTTGAGCTTGGCCTCGAAGCAAGTCCATCTACTTAGCCTCTCACTGCAAGTGGAACAGAGACCATCCCCAGTTCATCTACGGACCGTGCTTCATCCATTTGCATCCGATTTCCGGATTTGGTACCCGACCTATAGTGCGTTTGCACACCAGATCGGAACGTGTGCCCCAGGAACGTTTGAAGCCGCCGGAGCAGCGGCTGAAGTCGGAGCACGATGAGGATGACTGGTTGGACGCTCTGCGAGAGCTGCCTCTTGGAGACAGGGTGAAACGCCCGAGGAGATGGAGACGGTCGGCGGGGAAGATGTTTCCCAAACACGACCTGTTTGGGACTGCCATGGCATTGCCGATCAGTTGTGGGTGGTTGATTTGTGGTGCAGTTTCTTCCAGACACAAACTGACTCCATGGGACTGCCATGGCATTACCGAGAAATGGCCTGAGCTGGTGGATTTCAGGGGGGTCGGCATATTGCACTAGATACATGGAGTGTTTGGATATATGTGCTGGAAGCGGGATGGGGCGGGTGACCCTAAGAATCCAGGGCCGATAAAGCATCATATGAAAATTATGTTCAGATCCACGGTGTTTGAATTGTGTGTTGGTGCATG